ATCTTTTAATTTCGTTTTTCAATTTCTTGATTTTGTAATGATGATTATAGGCTAGGGTTCTTGTTCATTAGGAATTTGTTGAACCTTTTGATGATTTAAATTTTCATTATTTCATTAATTCAACAATATTTTCGATTGGACAAATGTTTGATTTATATGATTTGAATGCTTCCATAATTATTTGGCCAATTCTTATGTGATTGTAGATTATTTGTTCTTTGCATTCGAAAGAAGGGGAATAAATTCGATAGAATATAAATTGACATAGGGTCCGATAAGGGATGGAAACTTACCCTATGCTTTATGCAATTCATGAAAATGTTCATAAAAAGTCATGCATTCTTGTACATTGCATCATCCATAGAAATATAGGCTGGTGGTGTGTAAGAGTAGATTCAATATATATCGAGAGAGTGTATTGGATAATTTAAGAACATTGAATTGACATTTTGTTCCATCGATTCGTTGAATTTGTGAAATTAGGGTTTTTAATAGTCAATTGGGGATTCGAGTTCTTAATGATTTCATTTCAATACAATAGTTCTAAAATTGCATATTTACATTTCAGTTGCGTGTTTATTTCATTAGATTAGTGAAATTTCGAAATTAGGGTTTCCAATTTTGAAATTAGGGTTTTCTTTGCAATTAGGGTTTCAAATTGGGGATTTCTTCCAAAATTAGGGCTTTTCACATTTAAACCAAATTTTCATTCAATTAGATTCGGTTAAGGTCACATTAGTCTAATTAGAGCTAATTCAATCCTCGTGGGAACGATATTTGGACTCATAATCCATTTTACTACTTGTTAACGAACCGTACACTTGCGGTGGGTTTTAAAATCGAAAAGAAATATTTCGCGAACAATAGACATTACTACGTATGTGTTGATTGTGATCTAAATTCTAGTATGTATTGGAGTCTTAGTTAAAGTGGTTATGGAGAGATCAAAACTATGGACAGGGAAGAAAAGTCGTCGGATTTTCGCTAGCGGTAATAGATCAAAACTATGGATAGGGAAAAAAAGTCGCCAGATTTTCGCTAGCCTACCACTAGCTAGTCGCTCGCGCAACAAGCAAATTTTTGGAAGCAAGGAACCGACGCCTGCCTGTCGCTGAACTGTTGCTCTAGCGATAAGGCCACGCTCGCTGCCGTTCGAGCGATAGTGTTAACCGAGGAAAACCTGTTTTCATGTTTTAATGCGTTTTGAACTCTTATCCATCTTCAACTTGGTTTCTAGGATTTGGGACACCCCCTATAAATATTAGACTCTTCATTCAGTTTAGTCATTCCAGATATTTCTAATATTGTATTTTCTCTCGGTTGGTTGTCAATTAATAAAATTACTCAGTTCCTCTGCCAATCTCCATTCTTGCTTTAATCTTATTCTTACTCGTGCAATCAATACTTCATATTGTGTCATACTTAACCTCTCAATTTTCCCAACAAGTGGTGTTAGAGATATTAATTGTGATTTTGTTTGAGGATCTTTGTTAGTGATGGCAGTCATGAAGAATGAAATTTCGCTTTTGGATCTTAATCTAAGATTTTTATTGTAGCAAGTGAAGATGCGAGCTGTATTGGCGTAGATGGATTTGGATAATGCGTTGTTGGGATTTGACAAGACGCCCACAACTTGGACAATAGATAAGAAAAAATGGAAAGATCAAAAGGCACTTCAACTATCGAACAACATTATTGAGGACGTCTTGAAGGAGATGACAATAGCTGCATTGTGGTTGAAGTTGGAGCAACTATACATTACTAAAAATTTGACAAGCAAGTTGCACCTGAAGTAGAGACTATATTCTTATCACTTGCCAAAAGACTGATTTTTAGAAGATCATCTGGCTATGTTCAAGAAGATCGTTGCTGATTTGGAGATATTAGAGGTAAAATATGATGAAAAAGATTTTGCCTTAATCCTGTTGTGTTCGTTGCCTACGTCGTTTTCGTTATTCAAAGACATGATTTTGTACAGTTGCGACACACTTACCATTGAAGACGTATATAGTGGTCGGTTTTCCTAGGAGAAGATGAAGCATCCAGTTGGATTTGGGTCCAGAGATAGAGAATGTCTTGTGGTTCATGGTGATTGGCGAAGAGGTATGTCAAGGTCGAGCTACAGCAATCTGGTATGTTTTTATTGCAAGAAGAAAGGACACATCACGAGAAATTGCAAGAAATTGAGAGCAAAGATAATTCAACTGCAAATTATGGAAAACAATCAAACACTTCGGATGAGGCCAATATAGCTGGGGACCATTTGAATGATGCAGATTTCTTGGTTATTTTTGACATGGAATCCAAACCTGACGATGAGTGGATTTTGAATACAGCTTGTGCGTATCATATGTATCCCAATCGGGATTTGTTTGAAACATATAAAATGATGACGTAAGGTGTTGTCGAGGATAACAATGGATCTTGTCGAGTAGCCATTATTGGCGAGATCAGATTGAAACTATTGGATGGAACAATTAAAACTCTTGGCCAGGTTTGACATGTTCCAGATTTGAAGAAAAATCTCATCTCGCTAAACACCCTGGAGTCAAAGGGTTATGAGTTCTCTAGAAGAGATAAGGTTTTGAAGGTCTGGAAGGGTGTCTGTGTGGTACTGGAGGGTGCGAAAGAAGGCCCAATTGTACATCGTGTAATGTCGCACAGAATCAGTAAAAAATCATTAGTACATGTTTAATACCGTGGTGGATGTACAGTTTGGTATAGTACAGGTGGATGTCGTTGTGAAAGACGTATTACTAGAAAATTCATGGGTAGAGCCAAAGAGTGTGGTGTGAACTATACAAGTTACCAATAACATTGATTAAACCTTTGGGAGTTGGCTTTGAGTCATTATTGAAGAACACTACTCAGGAGAGATTGGAGGATATAGATAATTCCACTTTGTCGTCATTGTCTGCGGTGCTATCGTGTTCAATTGCTAGGGAATGACCCAATGAAGATAGATATGAGAATGTTGACCTAGTTTCATATGCTTTATGTGATTTTGAAGGTATCGAGACTAACAAGGGACCTTCAGTTAAAGCATTTGGAGTTGATTCTTCTATAGGGTGTGCTTCGTCCCTGTTTGGTAAATCTTGAATTCCTTGTGGGAATTTCGGAGACCCGATGTTTGGGTTCAAGTATCATTTGTGGATATTTTGGAATAGGGAGAGTAATTTTTTGTGTGATTGGAGAAAATTTGGATTTGGTTGAAGAGTTCAGTCTATTTTGTTGCAAATAAACTTATTTTTTCAAGTGGAGAAAATTTTCGAGCTTCGTTCGTTACACTGAGATTTGTGTCAAGATAGGATGCATTGCTTGTGACCAAAATTCTAGTTGGTATTGGAGTCATAGTTAAAGTGGTCATGGAGAAATCAAAATTATGGACCGGGAAGAAAAGTCGCCGAATTTTCGATAGCCTACCACTAGTTGGTCGCTCAAGCAAAAGGCAAATTTTTGGAAGCAAAGAACTGTCGCCTACTTGTCGCTAAACTCTCGCTCGAGTGACAATATTATCCGAGCAAAACATGTTTCCGTGTTTTAAAGCATTTTGGACTCTTATTCATTTTCAACTTGGTTTCTAGGGTTTGGGACGCCCACTATAAATATTAGATTTTTCATTCAGTTTAGTCATCCAGATATTGTTAATATTGTATTTTCTCTCTATTGGTTGTCAATTAATAAAATTACTTGATCAATCTGTCAATCTCTCTTCTCACTTTAATTTTGTTCTCGCTTGTACGATCAATACTTCATATTGTATCATACTTAACCTCCCTGTTTTCCCCACAATATGAATAATGAGTTCATGGAAATGGCTTCCTAATTTAATTTTCCTAATTTGTTCCCGACTCCAGTTTTTATTCATTCTAAATGTCAATATAATGGTAGTTATACATGAAGTGATAGCATGTAGTAGATGATAGCATGTAGTAGATGGACCTTGATACCCTCCTTCTGCGCGCATGGTATATAGATTAGATACCGAGTTGGATGAAATTTACTGCAATGTGCAATTCCATTTACCGGTCATCAATGGGATGTTTGACTCCCATTTTCTCCAAAATATATTTTTCTTCTCTACTTTTCAACCACGCATTTTTTGTTAAAATAATATTACATGCAAATAAAAAAAATTTCCTTTTTTTTAACCACACATTTTTCATCAATCTACTATTCCAAAATATATTCTCTAAAAAAAATAGGGCTCAAACACACCTTGTTGGAAAAGTGTAAACTGTTGGAGGGACTAATGGTCTACGTTTTGTTAAATTAAAACCCTGAAAACGTACATTTTATAGGAAGATTCTCGTACCATACCAACAGTAAAACGTTTGTATTTTATCCTTCGGACCCGGAAATTAGTTTCATTATAATGGATTCAAATTAGAAAGAAAATAATAAATTTTATAAATGGTACCTGTTGGAAATGCTTGGAAATTACCTAACAATTGTGGAAAACTTTTTCATTGGTGATCTAGACTGCAATGATAAACTTTGAAAAATTGACTTGTCACCACGTATAATTAGGGCTGGACATGGTCCGGTTCGGTTCGGTTCCCTTAAGAACCGAACCAGACCCAAAATTTTCGGGTACTTAGTAATTGGAACCGTCGGGTCCAAATTTAATTATGGAACCGTTCGTGTTCGGTTCCATTCGGTTCGGTTCGGTTCTGTTCGGTTCCGTACCATAATTACATTTTTTTAACATTTACAGCACAACATAAATACAACTAATAATATGTTGAGTCATAGCTTTTACAAATTAACAAAGTCCCATTAAAAACATGTAAGTAACATGTTGTCCAGTGACATTAATTTACCAGTGTATACATATATCAAAAAGTAAATACTAGTATTAAAATATCGGTAATTCATATCAATAATTCCCTTGCTTCAACCTTCAAGCCTTCAAAATCAAGTCTACATAAAACAATTGAATATGAATTAGAAGTCATAGAAATAAAATATTTTTAAGTATTACTAATACTTACCAGCTATTAATCATCAATTTCTTGAGTTGCCATACGAAGAAACTCTACAGAAAAATCGAAAAAACACGATTAACAAACATAAATGAACTAAAAATTGTTCAACTAATAAGATTTAATAAGAAAAATAAAACATATATTTTATTACCTGTCTCAATGCTCTCATAGAATTCTGTCTCTTCAATGCAAATTCTATCTTCGGAAACTCTCAAAAGTCTAGATTCTTCCATTAGCCGGTTTTGTGTACAAATCAAGGCCTCAACTGTTTTAGGAGTTAAAGAACTCCTAAATGGGTCAAGATTGCGCCCTCCAGTACTAAATGCTGACTCAGAAGCCACCGTAGATACAGGAATGGCAAGAACATCCCTTGCAACTTTAGATAAAAATTCAAACTTTGAACTGTTGATCTTTCACCATTTTAAAATGTTAAAGTTTTCATCAGTAGCATCTTCAGTAGGTTCCATTAGATATCGTTGTACCTCATCTTTTCCAGAAAAATCCATTTTGCTAGTTTTCATTTTCTTGTACCCAAAATCAAAATTACAATCATCCCAATCATCATCATCATCTGAACCCTCCAACAAAGTGACTCCATCATTATATTCATTGCCACCACTTCCACTTCCACTAGCTCCATTCTTTGAACGATGACATCCCTTGTACTGGTTATACAAAGCATACAATATTTTCATGACCTCAGTTTTTGTGGCTTCAACCTTAACAGAGTCATACAAGATACCAATACAATGTACAACAAACTCCAACTTATAACGAGGATCAAGCACAACTGCTACAATCAAAATCTTGTTCATTTTATCAACATTACCCCAATACTTGTCAAACTTAATCTTCATGTTGTTTGCTATGCTACTTAGCAAATAATCTTGTTCGTCACCTATTTTTTTCAAAATTTGCTCAATTTTACACACTTCTTGGAAGTAAATATTGGAAGTAACATTCAATGAAGCACTAAACTTCAATGTGACATCATAAAAGGTTCTTAGAAACTTGGCAAATTTTCTAGCTTTCTCCCAGTCATAACTCGTAGGCGGCCCCTCTTTTTCTTTTCCACCTTCATTCTCGTCAAAATATTTATAATAAAATCCATCCTCTTCCTCCATTCTAAAAAAAGCTTTTTCAAAATTCAATGCACTATCCAACATTAAGAATGTTGAATTCCATCTTGTAGAAACATCTAAAACATGAAGTTTTTTGCATGCAATCTTTTCCCTTTCAATACAACACTTAAATTTCATCAATCGAGAAAGAGATGATCGAAAATATTTGACCGCATTGCGAATACTTTCTATAGATGGATTAAACTCTTTCAACCCTTCTTTAACAATCAAATTGACTATGTGTGCTGAACAACGTACATGCAAATAAGAGCCACCTAAAATCATAGTATCATCAGGTTTCCAATTCTTCAACTTATTTTTCACATAAATGATCGCTGCATCATTTGTACCTGCATTGTCTACAGTAATTGTACCCACACGTTCTATTCCCCAATCAAGCAAACAATTTTCAATAAGCTTCCCAATTGTCTCCCCTTTGTGATTTGGAACAACAGAAAAAGTCAATATCCTCTTATGCAATTTCCAACTTCTATCAATAAAATGTGTTGTGACTACCATATAATTGATGTTTTGAATTGATGTCCAACAATCAGTGGTTAAAGAAATCCTTTGTCTATCATTAATAAATTTAATCCTCAATGATTCCTTTGTTTCATGGTAGAGATGTAGCACATCTCTAGCAATCGTTTTTCGACAAGGAACCTCAAATCTAGGACAAAGTTGATGAACAAATTCTTTAAAACCCACACCTTCCACAAAGAAAAATGCCAATTCATCAATAATAATCATCTTAACGAATGCTTTCCTACAGTTTTCTTTATTAAATATCATTGCCGTAATACCACCATCATTGTTTTCTCGAGTGAGTATTGCTTGGTTGTCATCAAACGTAGTGCTCTTATATGCATAACAAATTTTTAAATGCTTCCACATGCTAGAAGTTCCACTATTAGTATCAGCCTTAAATGTTCTCTGACAATAATTACATTTTGATCTTTCTCCATCAAGTATCCTAGTGGAATGATTCCATATTTCTGACCTCTCATTAAGCTGTTTTTTGTCTCCCATTTGAGCACCCAAAACTGGTAGGAAAATATAAAGAATAGCTTTATCCCAGGTTATAAAATACAAAGACAAAACACCATACACAATGCAAATCCCATACACAATTAAAAGACCATACACAAAACACGGCAGCTTGATATGGTATTTATCAATCACAAAACACCATACAAAATGCAAATCCCATACACAATGCAGTTATGGCAACTTCTGTATTGCCAATATATAGGTCAACCTGCAACTGTAAATCCCATACACAATTAAACAATCTTACAAATTGCATATAGGTTTCAGTATTCCCCAAATCAAAATTTCAGCAATCTATATTTAAATGTTTCAGGACTCTCATCAAATTAGAGTCCTAAATTGTTGTATGAAGCAAGTCTCCCCCACTACCCACCCCAAAAAAATCCCTCTTCTCTCCCATGTTATAGATAATAATGACATAATATCTGGGTTGAAGATGATCAAGTTCTAGAGGTTTGTCAGTTTCCTTAACGTCTATGAAGGTGGCTACTGCCTCAGCTTATACAAAGCATACTTAGATGTGCGTGTAAAAGCTGTCAGATTGAAGCTGCTATTTAGATGTTTTTCTATGTGATGGGCATGTATATTGGTTTAATTCATATTTGTGTGTGACGCCATATTTGTGTGTGACGCATGGCATTTTTTGACATTATAGTCGACTCGTACTTGGATGGGGGATTGCTAGGTAAACGTAACTAGTCAAATTGCAGTCTTTCAGTTAAAAGAAAAAATTGCAACAGAGATAAAAGCAAAATTTACTGATCACTTAGGGAGAGAGTTTGGTGATTAATAATTTAATATGAAATCTGCCATCAGTTTGCTTGTACAATGTTTTGGCATAAAATTCTCGCAAAATGAACTATTCCTTGCAACTTGGCACTTTGAAGTTTGAACGTGGAAAATGAACTATTTTCACTGTGACCTCAAATTGCAGATCTAGACACCATTTTATCATGGAATTCAATTCCCTGCAATTGCTAGCACCTAGGAAAATAAATACTTACAGCTGCGTTGTAACATTCAACATCTAAAATTGATAGCAATGTGGGTACTGTCAAATGGTTGGAGGTCTCACCTTTGATGGGGTTTCGACTTTCGGAGTTCAGGTTCACTGCTTCGAATCGATGGCGACGCTGGGGCTGAAGTGCTGATCGGAGAGACGGGAGTTGGTCTTTGCCTCTTTGGAACCGAACGCACTGGTTAGGGCTGGAGATTGAAAATTACTAATAGGGTTAGGGCACTTGGGACTTGGGAACTGAGGGAGTGAGCGTGGCTGCGATTAGGGCTGGAGATTGAAAATAACAAGTGGCCAAGTGGGTACTAAATTACAAATAGGGTTGGGTTAAGTGGGTACTAAATTACTAATAGGGTTGGGTTTTTTTAGTGACATTATTTTTGTATGTAGTTTTATTACTAGTTTATAGTTTATACTTTATTTAGGGCTAGATAATGGAATTGGATACTTGGATTTAGTGGGTTAGGTAGAGATTTAGAGTTGGGCTAAAAATGTAAGATTAAAATGGGCTTAAATGCTTGATGTTGGGCTAAAAAATATATTAAAAATGAAATAAATAATTGGGCCAAAAAAATTAGATTTAGAAAAAATTAAAATAATTTGATTTATTCAATATAAAAAATAAAAAAATAAAAAAAATTCAGTTCTTATTCGATTTTTCGGTTCTTGGCCTAGAACCGAGAACCGAATCATACCCGTCGGTTCTCGATTCGGATATCCGTTCGGGTATTTAAATTTAGAAGAACCGTCCGGTTCGGTTCGGTCGGTTCGGTTCGGGAGTTTTGTCCAGCCCTACGTATAATTGTACCAGTATGTTAGGTACGCAAATGATACTGATATTATAATAAATATAATTTAAATTTACTTTTTCTTTTTTACTATGTCAAGTACTAACTAATCTTTCAATTGAAACATAAAGTTCAAAAAAAATAAAAAACAAATAAAAATAAAAATAAAAAAAGAATCAGCCAAAAATAATTTACGGGCATTGGTTTATAGTTTATCAATCCAAGTGCTGGAATTGGGTCGATTTTCTTTGAATACTAATATCACAAAAGCTTAAGGCTTCAAGCTGAGCACATGATTTGTTTATTTCTTAAATACAGATTAAGAGTAAAATTGGGGAAAAAATCTCTAATAATGTACTTTTTCATTCGAAAGATAATAAAACATACAATACCATTCGTCCAAGTTTCAATGAAACCAAGCCTATTTGACAAGTTATTTTAAATTCCACCAATCAAATGTCCTAGACTCATGAAAAATAATAGACGCAAATATGAAATATGAAATATAAAATAGTCTATTATTGCTATTGTTGTATATTTGTATGACAAATTCTATGCACTATTTCCTAGTGATAAATAATAAAAATTATGTTTTCAGTCAGAACAATTAATATGCAAAAATTGTTGATGTCAATTTGTGAATAAGAGAAAAAATATAATATAATATATATATATATATATACACACACACACACACACATACGTGTGTGTGTTGTTGTTGATGATGATAGTTCTAAAAAAATATTCTTTATTTAAAGGAATATTTAAATTTATAATGGTATTATATTTTTTTTTCCGATATGTTATAAAGTAAATATTTGTTATCCATGTCATCCACTCTGTGTGTTAGTTTGTGTTATGATTATTGATGTAGTGAAGAATGATGGGACGGTTTGTTAAGTCCAGTTGTTCGACTTGACTCGTCGAAACTCGGCTCAAGGATGACTTGAGACGAGCTGGAGCACGAGCCAAGCGGGGTGCTCGTTTGACGAGGCGAGTTGCTCGTCAAGCTCACGAGCTAGTGGAGTTAAAAAAATGTGAACAAATTTTTTTTAAAAAATAATTAAAATTAAAAAAAAAACTCGTGCTTGAATGAACTCGTGGATACATGTCGACTCAACCCATTGCTATCCTTAGTCATATATATTTTAAAGTTCATTGACCAGAGTTAACGTTGTGAAATGTATAGTGTGGTCAATTGGTTCATTTAACACCACGAGTATTTTTATTTGAATTGGTAAATTACAAAGATAAAATATATGTTTGTCACACTTATTGAATGTGACTCAATATTACAGCAACTTCAAAAGCCTCTTTAAAAGTGGAATATTCTATTTCAAAGAGGAAATTTTTAAAATTTTACTGGAATAAACTCTTCAATTTAATATTTTAAAATAGAGAATGAGTTTGGCCTACCTCTCTATAATTTAATGCTTCAAAAGTTCCAACTTCCAATGCAAAATTTATGACTTAATTAAATAATATGTACATATCTCAATATCTCTTCATTGAATCATTGCAAGGCTATTGAAGCACTTTAAAATTAAATGTTAAAAACAATAAATACATATAGGGAATGCTTAAATTAAATGTTAAAAATAAAAGGCCATTCGAGCACTTTAAAATTTTTACTCTTTAAATTTATAGATGCTCTTTAAATTGTAGAATATACTCTTTAAAAATAGAGAGTCTCTTGAAGATGTTCTTATAATCGATAAGATTTTAAATTTTTTTTATTATTTATTTAAAACTAACCATGAAAAATTAAAATGAAAAAAAAAAAGTAAAAACTAAAACTAAAATAAACGAACAAATAAATTTAAGCCTTTAAATCAATTTATTGATCTTGTTCGTGGAAGAAAATTCTTGTTGAAATGGTCAATGATAGATAACTACCAGCGTGATAAGCACTTTGTCATTCATAACACATTATTTTGGTTCTAGCTATTTTCCAAGGCAATCAATGGAACAAATTGTTGGTCTTGGTAAACTTCATCAAATTAGAGCTGGAAAAGAAAATTATCTGTTTTCTTATAATTCTGGAATTGATACTGAGTCATTTGATAATGACAGATATTTTGTTGAAATTTTTGATGTTTTTTTTTTTTTTTGGTTATAAATAAACGATTAATGATTATTTTGGTCGAGAGTTAACATTGTCGTAATCTAATAATTTAAAAGCTTCAAACAATTAATTATTTTGTTTATTTAATATTCAATTTACTATATGTACATATATTCTTCGAGCAACAAGAAGAATGCACCCTCAATATTTTTCCTGTATGAATGTCAAAATAACGGTAATTACACGAGAAACAGCATGTACGAAAGAAACCTCAAAACTCTCCTCTCCTCCGTCTTGCCTAATATCAATGCCAATGCATTCTACAACGCCTCCATGGGAGAAAATTCAGATAGAGTCAATCTCATTGCGCTCTGTAGAGCAGATCTTCAGCCTTCTCAGTGTCGTGAATATGTCAAAAATGCTACGGCAGAAATTTTAAAGATGTGTCCGAATCAAAAACAGGCAATCTTATGGCACGAATTTTGTATGGTACGATACTCCAACGAGGCTATCTTTGGAACTCTTGCAATTTCCCCAATGAGTTGGGGTCATAGTGGGGAAACTGTCACAAATACAGTCGTTTTTTACCGGGAGTTGAACGTACTGTTGGACAGCCTTCAAGACCATGCCGCTTTTAATAGCTTCCCGAAGAAGTTTGCTGCTGCCCGTCGGGATGTGGATGATCCGAAACATCCTTTTATTTATGCATTTGAGCAGTGCACACCTGATATAACCTCGGAGGAATGTGGTGATTGCTTAAACAAATCTGCCCAATATATTCGAGAAATATATATAGGAATAGTCTCCTAGGCACTCATGCTTAATTTATGTTAAGTACCAGTGACATGACACATCATTTAATTGGTGAATCATTAAATACATGTGACCTACCATTAATTTATTTACCAATTAAATGACTTATCATGTCATCGGTGCTTAACATAAATTAATTATCAGTGTTTATGGGATCATTTTCGTGTGTGTAGAAAATAATTATTGTTATATAATGTGATAAATTTTATTTATCAGCAGGTATTTGTAAAGCATCCGATAATTAAATCCCATTTGACTCAGAAAATCGATACATTTGGCATCAATTATTATGGGAAAGGTGTGCAGCAGGTCAATAAATCGCCGTCATTCATCAATAAATCGCCGTCATTCATCTTTTCCACAAGATAATTTTCTTCTCTGTGCAGGAACCACATTTTCTTTTGCTGATAATTAGCATGTTCCTGTGCATAGAGTTAAAAAAAAGTAACTTTTGATAAAATGAGTAACATGAAATTGAATTTGGCTTAATTTTAAACACAGCCAAATATATTGTTATGTTCGCTTGATTATTCCTTTCAATTGAGTTTATTTATTGTTAGAATTTTAGTTGTTCAAAATTTAAAAAAAAAAAAAATTTGGGCTTAACCATACGGCCGCACGAGTTAAGCCCATGCGGCCGCATGAGGGCCACTTGCATTATAACCATGCGACTGCATGGGCTATAACCATGCGGTCGCATGGTTATACAAAGTGACCGTTGGGGATTCGTTTTTTTACAGTTTTTCTTTTGAATTTGGTGCCTTTTCAACATAATTTTGCACCATTTCGTGGGAACCCTTCAAAGCCTATAAATAGGTGTTCCAATTGCAAAGAAAGACACTCTTGAGAAAATTAAGAAATCCACCACAAGATTATTCTCCCAAATTATCACATAATCAATCCTATATCTATTTTCACTTGTTCTTTGTGAAAGATACACTTTTCTTTTGGTGTTCGTCACACAAAGGCTTGATTAAATCCTACAAACTATTTGTCGGAACTCCTCAAAAGTATTGGAAAGGGGGCAAATAACGTTTGAGGATAGCTTATCATTTTCGTGTTCAAGCCTCTCATTATATCTATATTCTTTGTTATTACCAATTTTCTTCTCTTCATTGCTTTAAATTTTCAAACAAACTCAAACGTTATTTTACATTTACTGCAATGGAGTCGGAATCTACTATTGCTACTATCAAAATGATGAATCAAGATCTGGTGCGTTTGGATAGATTCGATGGTGCAAACTTTACAAGATGGCAAGACAAACTCAAGTTTCTTCTAACGGCGTTAAAGATCTTCTACGTGCTTGATTCAAAATTGGAACCCATTCCCGATGCAACTGATAAGGATACCGAAGAAATTCATATAGAAAAGAAGAAACGAGAAGAAGATGAATTGATATGTCGTGGGCATATTCTAAATGCATTGTCCGATCGACTATATGATCTCTACACAAACACTACTTCGGCTAAAGAAATCTGGTATGCATTAGAAAGCAAATACAAAGCCGAGGAAGAAGGTACTAAAAAGTTTTTAATATCTAAATACTTTGATTTTAAAATTTTAGACAATATACCTTTATTGCCTCAAGTACATGAGTTACAAATAATTGTGAACAAATTGAAAGTGGTAAAAATTGAACTTCCCGAAACTTTTCAAGTGGGAGCAATTATTGCTAAACTCCCTGGTTCTTGGAGAGGATATAGGAAGAAAATTCTTCACAATTCCGAAGATTTTTCTTTAGAAGACATACAGAAACATCTTCGCATTGAGGAAGAATCAAGGGCAAGAAATAAGATTGAAAATTCTTATAATGGCTCTTCGAAAGTCAATGCCGTGGACAATGTGGACAACTCCAACAAGTTCAAAAAGAAAGGGAAATTTCTTGGTCCTAGAAAGGATCAAGAAAAATTCAAAAACAAAGCCAAAGGACCGTGCTATGTTTGTGGAAAATCGGGACACTATGCTAAAGATTATAGGCATAGGAAACAACATAAGAAGGAAGGACAAGTGAACTCTGTTGATGAAATTATTGCAACAATGAGTAAAATCAATGCAGTCCAAGGCAAAGTTCCGGGCTAGTGGTACGATACATGCGCTTCAATCCATGTATGTTATGAAAAGTCTCTCTTCAAAACTTATCATAACATTGAAGATAACCAAGAAATACAAATGGGAAATGAAGGAAGATCAAAGGTGATCGGTAAAGGAAATGTTGAACTCCTTTTCACTTCGGGAAAGAAGATCACTTTGACAAATGTCCTGCATGTACCGGAAATGAATAGGAACTTAGCAAGTGGTGTACTCTTGGGAAAACCCGGGATTAAATCTGTCTTTGAATCTGGAAAACTTGTATTAACCTATGGTGGATATTTTGTTGGAAAGGGCTATTCCACCGAAGGAATGGTCAAGTTATGTACTGTTGAGGATAACTCAAATAAAATTAAATCTTTTGCGTGTGTTATTGATTCATTTAATTTATGGCATGGTAGATTAGCACATATAGGAGTTAGTACTATGAAAAGAATGATTAAATGTGGATTAATACAATGTGATATTGATAACTTAGAAAAATGTGAATATATGTTAAATAAAAAATGATTAAGAAGCCATTTCATAGCATGGAAAAAACAACAAAATTATTTGAACTTGTTCATTCCGACATCTGTGAATTGAATGGAATATTAACTAGAGGTGGTAATAGATATTTTATTACTTTTATTGATGATTGTTCTAGGTATATTTACGTATACTTACTTAAACAAAAGGATGAAACCTTTAGTGCCTTTAAAACTTACAAGAATGAAGTTGAAAATCAATCAGGAAGAAAATTAAAGACTTTAACAAGTGATAGCGGTGGAGAGTATTTTTCAAATGAATTTAACATATTTTGTGAACAAAATGGAATAATACATCAATCTTCTGCACCTAGAACATTAGAACAAAATAGATTAGTAGAAAGAAAGAGTAGAACTTATTTGGAAATGATAAATGTTATGTTATTAAATTCTGAATTACCTTTTAACTTGTGGGGTGAAGCATTATTTTGTGCTTATCATATAACAAATAGAATTCCTATGAAAAAGAATAAAACTTCCCCATATGAACTTTGGAAAGGTAGAAAACCAAATATTAATTATTTTAAAGTGTGGGGGTGCCTTGCGTATTATAAAAATATGGATCCAAAGAGAACCAAGTTAGGTCCTAGAGGTATCAAATGTGCCTTTGTAGGATATGCCCTTAACAGCAAAGCCTATAGGTTATTAAATCTTGAATCAAATGTTATAACAGAATCAAGAGATGTGGAATTCTTTGAGAATGTGATGGTAGCTAGGAAATTTGAAAATAATAAAGATATTCCAACCTTTAAAAGCTCACCAAAAGAGACATCCATAAAGGATGTTGACTTTGAACCTCGAAGAAGCAAAAGAGCAAGAAAGGAAAAGAACTTAGGATCTAATGAAATAGATTCCCAATTTATCTCCTTTTACTTAGTAGAAGGAGATAGGAAGGATGTTGTAAGAACAATTCCTTTTGTTCTTCAAGTGGAAAGTGATCCTAAGACTTATAAGGAAGCAATGCAATCTAGATATTATATATTCTGGAAGGAAGTTATAAATAATGAAATGGATTCTATTATTTCAAATAACACTTGGGAAATAATTGACATACCAGCAGGTTCGAAAGCTATTGGTTGTAAATGGGTATTTAGAAAAGAAATATAATTCTGATGGATCGCTTAATACTTATAAGGCTAGATAAGGGTATCGTCAAAGGGAAGGAATTGATTACTTTGACACATATGCACCCGTGGCAAGGATAACCTCAATAAGGATTTTATTTGCACTAGCATCTATATATGATTTATATGTTCATCAAATGGACGTAAAAACGGCATTTTTAAATGGAGATCTCGAAGAGGAGGTCTATATGGAACAACCGGAAGGGTTTGTTCTACCGGGAAATGAACATAAGGTGTGCAAATTAATTAAATCTTTATATGGATTAAAGCAAGCTCCCAAAAAGTGGCATGTGAAATTTGACTCTAAAATAATGTCAAATGGATTTAATCACAATTCAGTAGATAAATGTCTCTACACAAAAGTGAATGGTGATATAATCACATTAGTGTGTCTATATGTTGATGATATGCGAATCATTAGTAACAATATAGACGGAATCAAAGACACAAAACGATTTCTATCATCTACTTTCAAAATGAAAGATTTTGGAGAAGTAGATACTATCCTTGGAATCAAAGTAAAGAAGGATAGTGGGGATTTTATATTAAATCAATCATATTATGTTGATAATGTGATAAATAAATTTAAACATTTGAATATTAAAGAGGCAAATACCCCTATAGATCCAAATATAAAATTAATCAAAAACGAAGGTAGAGGAAATTGGAAATCTTATGTACGCATCACAATGTACAAGACCTGATGTGACATTTGCTGTAAGTAAACTAAGTAGGTTTACTAGCAATCCAAGTTCGGAACATTGGAAAGTCATTGGTAGGGTTCTTGGTTACCTAAAGAAAACCAAAAACCTTGGGCTACAATATACCAAGTATCCTAAAATATTGGAAGGATATACCGATGCAAGTTGGATATCTAGTGCAGGAGAAAATAAATCCACATCTGGATGGATTTTCATTCTTGGAGGAAGTGCAGTTTCTTGGAAGTCCAAGAAACAAACTTGCATTACACATTCAACTATGGAATCAGAGTTTGTCGCTTTAGCTGAAACAGGGAAAGAAGCAGAGTGGCTGAAGGACTTATTATATGAAATACCTTTAGACATAAAGGATATTTCCTCCATACCTATTTTGTGTGATAGTGAAGCTACTTTAGCTCAAGCATCTAACGAAGTATATAATGGAAAGTCTAGACATATAAGTCTAAAACATGAATATGTAAGGAAATTAATCAAGCATGGAGTAATTTCTCTTACATTTGTTAAGTCAAGTGAAAACTTAGCTGATCCATTTACCA